CCATTGAAGTTTTCATACAAGTAGTGAATTTCTTTGGAGATCAAGTAACAACAAGCCTTTTCAGTACTGCAATACTCTCTTCAGTGTTTCAGCTGATTTTAGTAAGGTTGTCATCTGGATGTGAAGATAGTGTACCAAATATCAATCCAAAACAGTGATTTTCAACTGCCATACACTAGTGTGCCATAAGATATTGTCACAGCATACATATGTGTGTATGTGTGTACCTGTATGTGTGCGTGTGTGTGTGTGTGTGTAAGTACTAATGGTACAGCATTAGAATTTGAATAAATGAATAAAAGTAAAACACTTTTTTTTCAAATAATTCTTTTCACTATGCTCCTTCTAATATTGGACTTCAGCTATGTGAAGAAGAATTGCCCACTATTTCTAGTGATCGAGGGCTCAAAATAAAGCATTCACAGTACTCATTGATACATTTTGGATTTCAATACAAAAAGGAATATCCCACGTTAGCTAAAAAGGTTTTATCAGTTTTATTGCAATTTTCTACTTCTTATTTATGTGAATTGGGCTTCTCAGCTTTAAATAACATCAAAAATAAGAAATGAGAAAGACTTTACTCAACTGAAGAAGAAATGAGGCTCTGTTTATCACACATTTGACCATACATTAAAGAAATCATGAAAAAACACCAGGCACAGGTTTCATACTAAATAATCTGCACAAATAGTTGAATAGAAACATTGAAATAAAGAAAGTTCATATTTGTATGTGTATTTGTTTTTAATCTATGGTTTTATTTCATAACATTTAGGTGTATACCCTTTAAAAAATTTGCTAAGTGTGCTGTGATATTTTCATTTGCTCTTAGGTGTGCCATTGCTTAAAAAGGTTGAGAAACACTGGTCTAGAAAATGAACTTGGTGTGAGCTGAGTCTATTGTCCAATTTCATACAAATGCTCTTAGGAAAGGCATGAATCTATCATTTTCTCTCCCCCAAGCTATGGATTAAATAACAGGCTAGGCTTGGTTCTCTAGCCTTGGGTGGCAACTAGTCTAAGAAAAAGAAAACTCTGAATTCAAAAACTATAGCAAAGACAATGGGAAACTACTCCACTGTCTTTCCTAAGAATGTATGGTAATTCACAGATCATAAAGGAAAGGAATCTGTGGCGATTCATGATTGCCTACATCCTGAATGGCATAAAAACAATCATCTGGAAGGTTTCAGTTCATTATACAGGATGTCTCCACAAAATTGACATAATTTAAAATGTGACTATCTGAGTAACTACATGTCCCAAGCAAATGAAATTAAATAGGCTTCATAAATAAATATTTCTTTATCAAAATTCAAACAAGATATTGAAAGGGATTTAAATTTTATAACCTTTTTAACAAAGTTTCACAAATGTTCAATATGCGCACCACCTGTGACACATCACACGTCAAGTTGGTAATCCAGCTCCTGCCAAACACACTGTAGCATGCTTTGAGTAACATTCTCCAGCACCCCAGTGATTCTCTACTTACGTTCCTCTAGGCTTGTAGGAGAGGGGAAATATAAACATGTCCTTTCACATAACCCCATAGAAAAAAATCACAAGATGTCAAGTCAGGTGAAACATGTTAGATTGATAAACCTTTCTTATTTGTTCTTTATCTTAACATTCTGTCAGATTCTGATCCATATTTGATCTATATTTGATCCCAACTTTTTATATATATATATATATATATATATTTAACCCCAAACAAGGTAATAAAGCCACTAAGAGGTTACTGGGTATTAGATAATATGAGAACAAAAACACTATTAAGTAGAGAAAACAATAAAAGAACAAAAATTAAGAAAATAACAATTGACATTCATTGCATTTAAATTTTGGAAGGTCAAAGTTGATTGGGAAGCAAGAAGCTAGATGAGAGTTCCACAAGCAAGAAGTACCATAGAAGAAACTGTTAGCATAGAACTTATGGTTACACCTAGCTAATTAGACTGTAGATTGATGAGACCAGGTCATGACCAATAATAATATGGCTGATTCTTCTTTTGATTTTATCAAGAATCTCTCAATATAAAGGAAGAGCACTGGACCAGATGTGACAGTAACATTCAAATTGTTGAGATGTTGAGTGTTTCCACCTGCGTGTATTGAAATAAGGACAAACACATACGTAGGGAAAAATACTGGTATATCTGAAGAGGTATTTACAACAGAGAGATTAGTAGTCAAACGAACGCAGGTTAGTCAGTAACAATCAGAAAGAGTATAAAGTCCAACTGTATCTTCCGGTAGAGAGATGGAAGTGTGATGGTCACCTGATCTCCCAGAACTCTCTAGAACTGTCCTATTAGTAGTAGAGAGATCAGTCCATTCTGATGAGAAGGTGGGTGGCCCCAACACAAATCAAGGACAAATGATAGACTTATAAATATATAAGATAGATTTTAACAAGAAAATCGTCTATCAAGACACAGTGAACCAAATTTCTTAGCAACAGACCTAGTAATTAATTCAAAATAATCTTGCCGATTTCTCTTTATGCCGTCCAAGAATGTTAGCTCAAGAAGGTATAACAAGTCACCCTTCTGAAGGTTAGCACCAATTATGTTGATGGAAGGCAGAAAGAGGTTTCTCAGATGATTAATAGAGAGAAGTTTTGTTTTGGAAGCATTAAAATTAATGAGCCATTCCTTGTTCCAGTTAACAGCAGATTGCAGGTCATTTTTGAGATCAGCTGCCAATTTGACCATAACTGATCAGACTTACTATCAAGACAGGAGCAAATAGTTGTGTCATCAGCATAGATAGAGTTGAGAGCTGATGCCACCAGGAAGGTCATTGATGGAAATTAATAAACAAAGTAGGTCCAAGGATAAAGTTCTGGGGGACACCTGCATTAGTACGAAAAGATCTAGAAGAGTCGCCATTCAGGACAACTTTTGTTTTACAATCTGATAAGACCAAATCAGTTAAAAAATTTGTCGTCCTGAAATACCATAACTTTCCAACACATGAAGAAGGCCAGTATGCCAAACCCTGTCAAAAGCTTTTGAGATGTCCAAAACAACAGCCTTCCTTATCTAAATCATTCACCATTCATATCTAAATCTTGATAGACTCTTTTAGCTATAATCATTAATGCATCAGCAGTTGACCTAGAAAAGCAAAAGCCATACTGAGAGAGAGAGAGAGAGAGAGAGAGAGAGAGAGAGAGAGAAGAAAGAAAGGAGGGAGAAAAATGTAGATGAAGAGGTCAGCTTTCTGCTTGATATCTGTAGACAATGCATGAAAGGTAATGTTGAGATGGAAATACATAAAAATAAATACATTAAAATTCTATATAGAGAGATAGAGCCCAAAAGATTGTTGATTGATGGACTTGTTTTTCATGGCTTATCAACCCTTTGTGGGTTATTTAAAGCTGGAACATTTTTTTAATTGTTAATTAATTATTTTTGTGAGTGAATATTGCATTAAGAATTTTTGGAGAATAACAATGATTGTTTAAGATACAAGTCCTACTATTTTGACCATAGTTTTCACAAGGATATTTGCTCATAGGTAAATATAAAGAATCCAACTGGAATTTGAACTCAGCTCTCCGAATTCTCACTTCAAGCTGCTATCCATTGCACCACCTGCACATCCATGCCAAATAAAAGTAAAAGAGTGGATACAGTATGAAATCTTCCTGCTTTCCATGTTTGTATAACATTTAGATAAAAACATAGATGGGCATTGAAGGATAAGGGAGAGAATGAGAAGATACAGGTAAAGGTTAGGAGGAGACAAGAGACATGAGATAATGAATATTTTCAACACCTATGGAACTCACCTGAATCTAACCAATTCTTGGCTAGATCCAGGTGAGTTCCATAGGTACTGGAAAAAGAAGAGCAGAGGTATGAGAAATTGGATAATCTTCATTGTATTGCAAGGGATAAGGGAAAGAATGAGAAGATACAGGCAATGTTGAAAGAATAGCAGAAGCATGAGAAAATGGAAGATTTTATTTGTCATATGGAATTCCCCTGCGTTCATATACTATCTATCTTATGTGTTTTAGCACATTTGCGGATTTGGAGATCTTGGAAGATCAAACTGTACAATTTCCTTGTCTTTGTTGTCTTTATTTGTTTGTTTGCTTTGATCTTCACTCAGTCACTATGAAACAATGCAATGTGAAATGCAAATAACCTCTTATGAATTATAAACATAACAAATTTTTTAAAAATCTTTCAAACTGAGTAATTTCTTCTTCTTCTTCTTCTTCTTCTTCTCCGTGCTGTGTCCCTTCAAGATATTGGCAATCATGGCTCTCCACAATTTCCTGTCCTTTGTAACTTTTCCCTCTACCCTCTTGCCTTCAATATTCTTCTTCTACTTCTTCTTCTCTGTGCTGTGTCCCTTCAAGATATTGGCAATCATGGCTCTCCACAATTTCCTGTCCTTTGTAATTTTTCCTTCTACCTTCTTGCCTTCAATATGTCCTGTTAGTGTCATATTTTCTTCATTATGTGCCCGAGAAATTTCAACTCTCTCTTTTCCAAGTACAAATGTTCTTTTTGTTTGTATTTTCCTTAAAACTTCCCCATTACTCACATGTTCAGTCCATGGTATTCTCAGCATCCTTCTGTAGAACCACATTTCTGTTGCCTTAATTCTCTTCTTCATCCATGAGGAGATTGTCCAGCATTTACTGCTAGATGGGAGGACCAATATTACATAACAGTTCAATACTCTTTTCTTTGTAACAAAATTTTCCTGTTTTTCAATACTTTGCTTAGCTTTTGGAAAGCATCTTTCACTATCTCAATGCACCTTTCAACTTTGGTGTCACATTTTCCTAGATATTTTTGTACTTGCTTGATTTTGGTGTTTCCAGTTTTTAATTTGCATGTTAGCCTGTTTCTTTTTTTCCCAAATTGAATAATGAATCATGAATTTAATTAAAAAAAAAAGAAGCACTTTTGCATTGAACATTTTGAATTCACTGGAGCTAATGTCTTTTGTTTTGTTTTTTTTAGAAAGGAGAAGATGATTTTGAAGAGCCTGAGGAAGATGTTGAATCTCCCTTGCCAAACGTGATGGAGATGGCATTCTTTTTCGAACAAGCAGGAATTGGACTTTCAAAAGAAGAATACATTAAAGTGTGGATGGCCCTGAAGCATCTGGTTGACACTCACCCACTTCAGCATGTTCGATTCTGGGGAAAGATTTTGGGAACTGAACAGAATTATTATATTGCTGAAGTGGAATACAGAGAAGGAGAACAAGTCGAAGATGAAGAGGAAGAAGATGAGGTTTGATTGGCTATATTTTCTCTTTTGCTCTTACATTTTATCTCTTTATCTGTTACACACTCTCATTGGACTGTTTCTATATATGAGGTAGTATCAGAATATATCAGAATCGTGTCATTGTATCAATCAATGGAAATACACTTGCAGCTGATGTTTATTGATCCCTAGCCTGCTGAATCAGTCTATTAAATTCATGCTATCAACTCATGTTCAGTTATTATGCTAGGCTATGTTACATTGTATTGGAATGGCTCTGCAATCTTTACATTGACTGACAAATTTTAGAATTATGCCTGCATCAAATTTTACATGAATCTTGACTAATCTCATACAGTTTTTGTGTGTCAGGTGCATTTTAAAACTGGCAGAGTGTCAGTTCATGATGGTGAGCAATCAGATTAGTCAATCAGAAACAAAATACCAGAAAACATGTGAAAAAATTAATAGAATTATCTATGAAGGACCAAAGAATCTGTCCAATTTCTCACATGACTTCTTTCAGATATGGAGTTTGCCAGAAGTTCCTAGTCCAGAAACTTTCTGATACCACATTGTACTAGTTAAATCTGCGAAGTTGAACAAATGTACCCACAAAAAAAGACAGTGTGTCAAAAAGACGTTTTTTTTTCTTGACACTCTCTTGGTAATTTTTGTTGTTTTAAAAAATTATTTTTAGAATTTTAATAAAACTTAAACATAGGAGACTGTACTTATATATTTGCTTTTTTCTCAAACTGTGACAACAAAAATGTTAAACACTATTTTTTTATAATTTGTTTTTATAATCATTTCTTTACAATATGATAAATAATAAATATTGTAGTTGGTTCACATATTTTATAATCTTGTAAAGATTTAATTTAGTCTTGTGAATAAACAGTCTAATAAATAAACTATCACAAAACTTAAATGACTTTTTCAAAGAAAGAAAAAATTGATAGAAAATAAAGTCTTTTTTTATCCTGGTGGAGGGATTTTGGGAAGTGTATGAAATGTCTGGCCTGACACACAAAACACTGGAGAGCTTGACAGATAAACAGATTGAACATTTTGAGTAGCACCTTTAATATTCAATAAATCAATGAAAATTCAATGGACTTATCTCACTGACTGACTTCAGAGTTTCATGTCAAAATTCTCATCAGGTCCAGATGTTTGATTAATCTAGGTTTCCTTATAAGCAAATGGCTAATATTGCTATTACCATTGAAATGATTACCAGATATCATATTTGTACTCCTCAGAATAAATGCTAGTTATAAATTTCAAATTCTTATCGCATTAGATTTTCATTAAAAATATAATTTAAATTTAGAACCAGAAAATTTTTTTATAATGTCGCTATATTTAATATCATGATAATGTCTGTCTACTCTTATTTTCTGAGCACACCTGTCTGCTAGGATGGTTAGCCAATCCCTGTCACAAATGCCTGATCAGGCACATTTGTGTTTGTTCAACACTCAACTGTGGCTTATATTATAACTAAGCTGAGTTGACTTTAGTTTCTCTGCAGATATTCTTTCATGTTCAGTAATGTGAACAATGCAAGTACACTCAGACTTTTCCATTACAATGACTTTTTCTGACTCGTGTTAGCCCCCAACCAACAACAGCTTCCCATCCAATTTCACTCGTAAGGCTTGGGTCAACCTGTGATATGGTTTGCTGGAACTTTCCAAAGGTGCCATATACTGGGATCACCTCCCCAGACTGATAACATCAAAAAGTCACCTTCCTAACAAATCAACCATAGTGAGTTTCAAATCCAGGTCTCATAGATGGAAAGTGAACATTCTAACCACTTGGCCATGCACCCATATACAAATATATGTACATACTAAACTATACACACATGTACACATATACATTTTTTTATCATTTATTTAATTTTATTTATTCAATTATTTTATAATTTAATATTTTTATTTATTTTATATGCATATATATTATATTTTATTTATTTTTACTTCATTTTATCTTATTTTTATTTTGAATGCCAATTGACAAATCCAAATTTATTTTTATGTTAAACATTTAGCAATGATTAAATTTTGAAATGCTAAGTTTTAAATCTAAAATGTTTTTTGAATTATTTTTAGTGCTAATTACCAAATTCAAATTTGTTTATATATATGTGTGTGTGTGTGCGTGTGTGTTAGCTGTTTCCATTTTTCAGTCTTCGATAGAGCGCTGATGAGAGAGGAACGAAAACCAGTAAAGCTCTTATTAAATTTTATCCTCTTTTTTTGTTTTTCAATTTACATAACTATAAAATTTTAGTTATTCTTTCTTGTTATTTGATTTTAATTTTTCTGTTTTTATTGCATTTATTAAATTTTGTAGTCCTAATAAAATATTTCAATGTGAAATAGATAAACTCTCAAGATATGGGATCTGAGTTCAAATCTTGTATACTTTGATGGTCAAAGAGTAGGTTAACGTCAAGTGTCATAAGAAAAACCAACAGTAAATTGAAGAAAATTTGTTAAAAAAAAAAAATAACCTTATTTTTAGCTTGAATTTCTAGAGGGATTTAAAGGAACATTTTTTATCAAATTCTTTTGTTGATAAATGAAATCTTTTAAAACAATCTTTGTCATTCTCACACAATGTAAAAGTCATAACATCTTTTTTTCTCTTAGCAAGTTGAACAAGATGTAGACAATATTGACACTCAAGGAAATGATGATTTTGATGAAGGTAAGTTCTGTCATTATTGCATTTCATTAACAGCTGAATAATTTATCAATTATCAGATGCTTTTAAGCGACTGAATATAAACAAAGTCAGTGAATATAATAGACTGCTGTCATTGTATATCATAATTTATTCACTATGCATTGACAATATGTTTTAAAAGACTTAATATAAACAAAATCAGTGCATGTTTCATTTGTTGGATTATCATCAATACCAACGATAATAATCAAAGGTGGCAAGATTTTGAATTGCCACCCTTGACAATAATTACAGGTGGCACGAGATTTGAAAAAAATCCATCTTATTTACAGTGACTTTTCATAGCAAAAAGACGTATTCTTTTCATTCCTGCAAAGATGTAAGTATCTCAACTGCAGACACTGAAGGCTGCTTTGAACTTTTCACATTTCATTTCATTTCTCCTTTCATAAAATGTCTGTTCAATATATTTGTTAACATTTCTATGTCTTATTTTTCCTTTGGACTCACACATCTACCAAAAATTGTTTGCAGGTCTAAATGTCCCAGGAGCATATAAAATCTCATCAAAAGTGTTGAAGCCAACAACACATTGCCTTGATAAGTGAATCATTTATAGACTATACATTGATATAGCGCAATGTTATATGATTAAAACCAGTGTGTTCATCTCTTGAAGACGACAAACAACCTTCATTAATTTTTCTTGATGTTTTACTTTTTGATATTTGAGTATTTACTAGCAGTACCCATGAAGATTTCAGTTTCTCTCCCTGAATTTTCTGATGAATCATAATTCTTAAGCTCATGGCAAGTTCCACAACCGGTGGAAATTCTCCTATTGAATTGCTAAATATTTCAGCTTAACAACTTTAACAAAATATTGCAATACTAATCATAAATATGAAGGCTGGTTATTATTCAAAGAAGATGGTATAAATGAAAAGATTTAAATTTGACAAGATTTTCCATTTTGCAGAATTATGATGTAATGCACCCTGCTGCAGTTTTCACAGGGATTGCATGTGAACAAAATTAATGCATGCACAGAGTGAAAATAACAAACAGCATCTACATTGAAATAATTTATCAACTCTGCCTTGTATCTTAAATAACAGCAAGTGAACAATATCTACACAGGTAGCCACTAAATTTAATAGCTACTCAATCCACTTTTCTTACTTATAAACACTTTCATTTTTTTGACATTTAATTTTATGATTTTATTCAAGCCAGTTTTCCTAATTGTTCTCTCTAATATTTTCTATTTCATTTTGAATAGCTTTCTAATCAATGTTCGACTTTGACATAATTTCTATTATTTTTTGTTCCTATCACTCAATAAGTCTTCATTATCTTTTTTCACTTTTGAGATTATATCATTCTTGCAACATATCAAAGTCATTATGGCTCCACAGCTCCACCCACAATTTCTTATCTTCTTCTGCCTATCACTCAATAATTCTTCATTATCTTCTTTCTCTTTTGAGATTATATATTTCTTATATCCAATCAGAATCATTGACACCATAGCTCCACCCACAATTTCAAATATTTTCTTTCCTATCACTTTACAATATCTTCTTTCACTTTTAAGATTATATCTTACAACCTATGGGAACCTTTATGACTCAATGGCTCCATTCACAACTTCAAATATTTTTCTCATTATTGCTCAATAACTTTACAGTAACTCCTTTCCCTTTTGAGATTATATCTTTCGTACAACCCATTGGTATGCTTATAGATCTGAAATTAAGAATATATATGTATATAGTTACCATATAATAAACAACTCTGTCTGAATATTAAAATCTCACACCTGCAAATGAGTTATTGTAAATATGTCTAATAAAAAGAGATTTTATGAGCTGAAATTTACATTGTATATTTTACATATAATTAAATCATGAAAATTTCCCAATGAGTTTCTATCAGTTTTATTGTTAAAAAATTAATTTGCATAAAAAATTTGACTGTAATTTTTCATGTAAAATAATTGTTCTTTCTTTCCTGATTAGACTTATTATATAAAAAATTTTCTTTTTGTATAAATCCATTATGGGATATATTCTACTCAAAAATTGATCATTGTCAGTAGATTTTAGAAAGTGTTCAATACTTTGTGTGCAGAGACATATTCGTAAATATTTTCTCTAAAAAATATAACTTTGACAAATTGGAATGTTGATATGTTCATGCAGCAAAATTTTATGAAAAGTAAATTGTTCAAATATTTGTAGGTCTTATTCTTAATAGCTTTTTGTGGTTTCAAAAGCAGTCAAAGGAATAGAATATTTGAAAAGAGAAATCTAAAAATGAAAAAACATGGAAATTACATTTAAAACTAAATGTTTTCTTTTGCAGAAGGATTGCCTGAAGTGGATGAACCACCAAAGCCAGATTATAAACCACCCCCCGTTGCACCAAAAGAAGAGAAAGGAACTGGTGCCAATAAGAAAACATATTTTGTCAGCAATGGACGTAAGTTCAGTTTAACAAAAAAAAAAAAAGAAAAAAAAAGAAAAAACAATTTCCTATTTGAATACTTTTCATCATAAATGCTTGGCTAAAGAAAATATCAATGGACACTCTTTTGTCTGTGTTTGACATGCACAGAATTTACCTTTCATTCAAAGTACAAGCATGTTTTGTCATCTGTGATATCTTACATATCACTGACTACAAAACTTTCATTCAGTCTAATGATTGCATATATACAGTGACACATCAAATCAGATGTACAAAATTTATTGCAACTTATTTAACTTGTTGGGTCACTCACATCTTACCAGCGGAGATAATGTCGTGTTCAAAGAATAAAAACCAATCAGGAAACAACAAGTGAAAGCTTCTTGATATGGTAAAAAGAAAAGATAAAATTTTATTGATTTATTTATTTTATTATACTGGTGTGTGTATTTAGTTAAGGTGTGATAAGGTTTGTATGTGATAAAAAAGAAATAAATTACTTTGTTGTACACATAGCAAAGTACCATGAGAGGAAAGGAAACAGATGTGTTGTCTCTTTTAAGTCTGAGTGTGAAAGAGAATGATTTGGGTGTTGTTGTTTTTTTAGGTGCAAAGAATCTCTTTCATAGGTGGTGGGAGGGAAGGTTTTTGGTGCATGCAGGGAAATTGATTATTCTATTTTATTTGTTTTCGTTTTATTTAATTATGATAAATATTATTATTTATTTATGTTATTTTTTATTTTATTAATAAAAATGTCCCTACAAACTCCATAAAATTCATTGGAAATTATTTTAATTCTATTTATAAAAACTGTGATAGAAGGGATTAGGATTTATTAAGCAAATCCATTAAAAGTTACATTTGTAAAAGCAAGACAATAATAATAATAATAATAATAATAATAATAACTTCTTTTACCCACTCCCTTCAAATTTGGGTGAGTTGACGAAAAAGACTGAAAGGAATTTGCGAACACATGTGAAATTTTCTTTGAACCAATTAAAACCTTACCTTCAGAGAGATTGATCAGAAAACTGAGAAGATGTGACCTGTGATATCAAAGGTTAGGATTTATTAAACAAATCCATTCAAACTTGCATTCACTCTAATGATTTCATATATATATATATATGTATATATAATGACAAAGTGAATAATACTAAAAGCAGAGATAGAAATTCATTGGAAATTATTTGAATACTAGCTGTTTATATAACCTGTGATATCAGAGGTTAGGATTTATTAAATATATCAAAACTTTCATTTACATGAATTATTGTATACAAACAGTAATACTTCAAATTCTAATGGCATCAAGAAAAGTGAAGCAACAATTATAATTGGAGTTTTACTACTGCCAACAGTTTTTATTGCGACTCCATTGCTTCCCCTTTAGTTTTCATTATTGTCTGTATTAAATAAAAAGTAAAAAACAAAACTGGGTGATTTAGGAGCAAAGTTTGCAACTTTTAACTTAATTTTTTTACTTAATCTCAGTAATATGCACTAAAAATGAAGGAAAAAAAGATTCTGTTAAAAAAAATTCCTATTTAATAAAATTGGTAATATTTTTGGAATCAAATAACAAAACCTTGATGTGATTCCATGAAATCTTACAAATGTCTATGTTTGTTTATATTTTGTTGAAGCTGGAAAAGCATGGGTTTCTCTACCTTCCGTTACTCCAATTCAGATTGTAATTGCCAGGCAGATCAAAAAATATTTCACTGGAAGACTGGATGCTCCTGTAAGTATACTAGTTTCATCTACCTAGGTGTGGTTGTCTATCTCAAAATACACACTTAAACACACACTTGCCAAATTATTATGCAAAATTGTATTGTAGATTTAGTTTCACACAAGATGGAGAAGAATAGATTAAAACAGACATTGGCAACATAGCAACAATGAAGATATTCTGCAAAATGATTTTGCTATTTACATTATTAACAGTTAGACTTGCAGATGCTGACAAGTTTGTGGGTTTTGTGTGTATATTTTAGGTGAAGGTGTGTGTTCAATATATAAACAAAAACGATAGAAGAAGCATACAAAAACATGGGTTAATTTCTTTTATGTTGACTGAAATTGAAACAAAGTTAAACGTCTCTTGAGTATGTCCATAGGTAAAGATGGTCAAGCTCAAGTCAGCCTCATTCTGAGTTGGGATGGCTGAATCTCTACTTTATAAATAGAGCTGCTGAAAACATGTCTGAATGATCTTGTTGGAAAGTGGAAAAAGTGAGATTCTGTACTTTCTAAAAAGTTGTTATAGTGGAACACACCTATTCTATTGCTAATAGACTCTCCCACCTATAATAAGTAGGAGTAGTAGGAGTCGCAAGTCGCTCAGTGAGTTGGTCAATCAGTCAATGTCAGACGACCGTTAGTCGGATATTAAAGTATCAGCGACCACTGCTAGATTTCTCTGCGTCATTACCTATTATATCAAGTTCCTAACGTTTTGTACGTTGAACCTATTTTAGGACCAACTTAGTGAAATACAAGCCTCCATTGTGAAACTAGTCTACAACAAAAGTGGAATCGTAAAATCACACATGTGACTAGAAACCCTTTCTGGTTTCTTTATAACTTGCATCATGGGAAATTTTTTTTTTTTTTGATTTTATTCTTTATTCTTCTTTTATTTATTGGTTTTATTCTATTTTCCCTCAGACTAATATCCTCATCTTTGTTTTTATTACCACAACTTCTCAGTCATTGTGCCCTACTGTCTTTTCCAGGTGTTTGTCAATCAGGGTAAACTTCAGGGAATTTTGAGCTGAACCTTTTTATTTAATCTATGAGAGTAGAGTGTTTGTAGGTATTTCAGTTGTCTACCATTTTTTTATATTAAAAATCCAGATGCCTATTAAATAAATCATTTCTATTTACAAATATATGCACATGAATTCAAAAGAATTAAAAAGTATTAAAAATAGTTTTTAGTTGAGTTAAAATCTTTGGGTTCACAGAAATCACTGTAGTTTAGACAAAACTTTTAAATAAATGGATCACAATTAAAAGCTGTGGTTCAAAAAGATTTTTAGCATTAGCTAAAATTCACTGAGTCTTTGTTATTGTTGGAGATGATTTGTCTGAAGTCACCAACTACTCATCATTGAAGTTTCACTGATCATTCAAGCTGTCATCAGTATAGCTGATTTATTTGAAGTCACCGATATATGTTTCTATTAGTACATGCTGTGGGGAAAGAAAAAACTATGTAGCCATGATGTGGAAACAGCCACATCTCTCTGCTCTTTGAAAGTTGAAATCTGTGGGTTTTTATAAGAAATTTTTCCTGAAAGTAAGCTTGAGAAAAATAGGGTTTTAGCTTTCTCTGATTGGTCAAATATTTCACATGGTGATGCTAGTTTCTGACCAATAGACACCTTGATTTAAACGGTGTTGTCTTGTGGAATCTTTTTGGTATGTTTGTAATATTGTCTGTTATTGGGTAGAAAATAAAGTTTGGGTATGATTTAACATGGTATGGTGTTGGAAATAGCGTTTCTTTCCTATATGTTCTTGTGCCACTGTCCATATATAGAGATATCTTGCCTTGTTCTTTTTTTAATACTGCTCAGTTATTCTTGCCCTGTTTCTGCAGAGTTTAAATGTACACTCCCTTGTCCAGGGATTGAACCCACAATTACTATGCCACCAAATCTATGAACCACTGCTTTAATCCATGGCACAGTTTTATTATAACTTTGAATGTGTTGATGAATATTGCTGAAAGAGTTTTAGATATTTTGAAGGCATATGATAGTCTTCACAAGTCAAAGAGTTGTTTCTGGTCATTTTTTTATTTCATTCAATTTTTCTTATCACACCGTATATTGAAAGTTGTCTTGAATGGCCACTCCTCTAGACCATTTTGCATTAATGGGAGCATCCCTATTCTTGAACTCATTCCGTTTTTGATTTTCATGAATGACCTTCCCATGCCATCACTTCCCAACTTGGTATCTATGTAGATGACACATCTATTTATTATTATTTATTTATTCTTAATAATAAGTCTGATGGGTTCAATAAAACCAAATTCGCAGCTGATCTTGAAAATGAACTTTGTTGTGAGCTGGAGCAAGAAAATGGCTTGCGAATTTTAATGCCTCTAAAACAAAACTACTTTCTATTAATCATCTTGAAGAACCTTTTTTTTGCTTTCCATCAGCATGGCTAATGCCAATCTTCAGGAGAGAAACTCACTGTATCTTATTGGTCTGAATTTTTCCACTGACATGAAGTGAAGTGATTATAACAAATCAATTGCTAAGTCTGCTGCTAAGAAAATCAGTTCATGATGTCGGTCTAAACAATTTTCCTTGCTAGAATTTATCTTACACATCTCTAAGTCTACCCTTCATCTATGTATCAAATATTGCTGTCACATTTGGTCTGATGCTTCTGCTACATATCTAGAAATTATTACAAAATCCAAAGAGGAATCAGCAATGTTATTGGTCCTGATCTGGCATCACAGCTTCAACCACTTTCCCACTGCCATATCATAGCTTAAATATTGTATAAATATTTTCATGCTGATTTTTCTGATGAGCTTTCCTCGTTGGTACCTCAACTTTACAAATTTCAGCACAGTACTTGATTGGCAGCTAGATCTCATAATTGAAATTGCTGCTTCTTGCTTTCCAGTCAACTTTGACCTTCAATGATTTAAATACAATGTCAGTTGTCATATTCTATTTGATTCTTTTTCTTTTATCTCTTTGTTTTTGATTTTTTTTTTGTTTTGTTTTCAATCATTTCACTCCAAGCAAGGTGATAAAGGTACTAAGATGCAAGGGGAAAAAATTGGAGTAAAAAAAAATTCAAAGAGACAGAATATGACAACTGACATTGCATTTAAATTATTTTCCCCTTTCAGCAACACCTTGCATCTGAGTAGCTTTATCACCTTGCTTGGGGGTGAAATGATTAAAAACAAAAGGTTTGGAAGGAAACTCCCATCAGTATTAGAAAGAGCTATAATATTTAGTGGACTTGAGAAATCTAATTTCCTGAACAATACTATTTTAATAAAAAGATTTTATAAATTTCAGTTGACCTTAATTGAACACCTCCAACAGAAGAAACAACTAAAATGGTTAACAGATGTAACTAGAAGAGAAAATAATGATACAATGAAGATCTTGACTTTCCACATGGCATTAAACTCAAGGTTTGGAAGGAAACTCCTATCAGTTTTAGAAAGGGCTATAACATTTAGTGGACTTGAGAAGTCTAATTTCCTGAACAATACTCTTTTAATAAAAAGATTTTACAAATTTCAGACAACTCTAACACTAACTTTGTGGATGACTAAATTAATATTACCATTTATTAAATCTGATTTTTAAGGTTGACTATTTCTATAAAAAATTTACCAAATGATAAAAAACATCATTTGAAGACTTCCAGCAGTGGCAACAAGAAGAATGGGTAACACATGTAATTAGAAGAGAAAAAACAATAATCAAGATGTAAGATAGATTCTAGTGGGAAATATTGTTTAGCACGACACAGTGAACCAACTTTCTTTTCAGCAGACCTTGTAGTTGATTCAATAGTATTAGTAGTAATAGCAACATTTTTTTAATTTATTAATCTTTAGATTATTCTTTCATGTATCTATTTATTTACCATCAATTATTGTGACATATAGCTTCTTCATCTTTCAAGTAGTTTATAAAAAATTCTAATCTAGTATAGTGTATAAATGTATGTTGTGTTATGCATATTTGAATTTATGTTACCATTTATTATGAATGTTTATTATTTTTCAGCCCCATAATAGTTGGAATATAATATGCGATTGTTTGTTTATATACATGGATTGATATAAGAATGTGTATTAAAAACAAATACCGAATTTCCTATTAGAATGTTGTAAAAGTAGAATAACAGCCCTAGCTCAAGAATTCCTTGTCTAATTTTAATGAAATTTGGCACAGTACTCGGCAGGGGTAAGGTACAATATGCTCCTAAATTGGTTGGGGTATTATGTATCATTTAAACTATATCTTGGGAACACCCATATATACATACAAGATTAGAGTTTTAGTATTATAGAGATTTTAAACAGTGTGTGTTATGTCTATTGACCTGCACATTGCACTTGAGAAAACTTAGCATATTTTCTTTATTAAGTTTGCTTGACTGTTTTAAATAAAAATATGGGGCATCCATATCAAACACTGGTATCCATATATATATATATATATATATATATATATATGAGGCATGTTGGAGTAGTGGATAGCAACTCAGATTGAGGAATCGGAGAGCTGAGTTTGAATTCCAGTCGAATCCATTACATTCACTTATGTATTAATACCCTTGGGAAATGTATTAATCCTCTTCTTCTCCCTCCAGCTATAGGTTCTATAGCCTTGGATGGCAACTGGTCTAAGAGAAGGTCAACTCTGAATTCAAAACCTGCGGAGGGTTGTTTGGGGACCTTGTAGCACTTAGTGCACCAGGTCTCTGTATTTGGCCCTTCAAAAAGTGTGGTTGGCTTTGCACAAAACTTCACCACTATAATCAAATCTCATGTGCTGGTGTCAGATTGTCAGTTCTGCTTTGACCCTCATATGTTGAATTCAATAGGAGTGTCCTCTCTCTCTCTCTCTCTATATATATATATATGAGAGAGAGAGAGAGAATGACATCATCATCATACTACCAGCTGACAAAGGCAATGCAACTGTAGTGATGGACAAATCAGATTATACAAGAAAGCTGAAAGACTTCATTAGCAATGGTAGCTACAGCAAAGTGAAAAAGGATCCTACAATGAAAATGGAATGCAAACTGTCGCAGATACTAATCAAGAACAAGGATCACTTTGCACCTAAGACATATAGGCAGTTATCGCAGCGTTACATCAAGCTACCTCACATATACGATCTCCCTAAGATTCACAAAGATGGTATTCTGCTGTGACGGACGCAGATAGCATAAACACGCATACACGCATATATTAAGGTTAATTTTTGCCTAGCCACAGAATGGTGGGGGTCACGTGGAAGTCTTATGACATTTTGGGATAGCAAGTCAAGAGGTTGACTGACCCAATTACCCGTAGCAACAAATGTCTAGACAGAAGCTAGACAGGGGACTGATGTAAGCTGGAATTCGCGCCAAAACGCAAGACACGTGATAGTCAGAAATTTACTTGGGAGTCAGTTGCTGTCTTGACTTTGAAGGAGCAAGACCTGAAATCGAAGCGCTGATAATTTATGAATGGAAAGATAAGACTCATTTGATAATGATGGAACTTGTCCAATTCAACCCAGGCAACTCCGGGCAAGAAATATAAGTATTTCTGTTCGATAACCCCAAATTGAAGAGACAGAGAAATTTGTACGCTGAGAATACAGCCTGCGTTTGAAGAAAAGAGAAAACCAGAAAGGAAGAAAGTATATATCTCTGTTATAAGCTGAACTGTGTAAAGAAAAAGAAAAAGGAAAACCAGAGAGGAAGAAAGTATATATCTCTGTTACAAGTTGAATTGTGTAAAGAAGAAGAAAAAAGGAAAGAAAGAAGAAAACCAAAGAGAGGAAGAAAGTGTATATCCCTGTTGCAGTGAGCTGGGTTTGGAAACTGAACTGTATACAGACGAAGAAAGAAAAAAGGAAAAACAGAGAGAGGAAGAAAGTGTATATCTCTGTTACAGCCGGACAATGTGTGAAATCGTATTTGTGTCAAGAAAAGAAAAGAAAGGACAATGATAAAAAAAGAGAACTGAATATAAAAGATAAGTAATCATATATTTTGGACCCGTATTAGAAAGATACACATACATCCATAAATATTATGTTCTTACAAACACCTTTCCACATGTCAAAATAATAATTGTAACTCCTATCCCATCTCTTTTGTGCATGCGTTGATTTCTGCATTCGTAGTAATTCATACTTATATTTTTGTATGTTCGGGTTCAGTTGAATCCATTTGGAGTTAGGCGAATTTTAATATCCCAACGTAAGTCTTGAGATCTGGTCGTCGGATGTTTTTACTCATGCTTATATTTTCTTTTATTTTAATATTCTGTATATTTATACATATTAAAGTTCTTGTATCAAAAATTGCTAAGCCTTATAGTTCATCCTTGACTTGTGGATCAGTATTTGTGTTGAAACTGAAGCGAACCTGGGAAAAGATTACTGTTCGATTATCCTAATTGAACAGTGTTCTTAAAATATTTTCTTTGTTTACCAATTGTCCATTGTCACGATCTGAGAGAGATAGCTTGTATCTCTCCACAGGTGTGAGAATGTATATATCTTCTGGTCGGCATATGATCGCCTTATAAACCCATTCGTTGACTAGGGCATATGACACTGCTCAAGCCACCCTCTGAGTCACTTCCTTGTAGATATAATTGATCGGAAAATCTCCTTCATATGTCTGAAACTCCACACACTTCGTGGAAATAATCAAAGATGTTCCCATCCTATCCAACCAGATGGTGAGCTTGGATGTGGTGAGTTTGTTCACCAAGGTACCAACGGAAGAAGCACTCTCAGTAGTCAGAGACAGATTGGCCTCTGACTCATCCCTATAAGAACGAACCAGGTATCCAATAGATAATCTGATGGAGATGTTGACTTTATGTACACAAACAACACACATATATTGACAGGAGGAGGGCTTAGCAATGTGCTCACCATTATCACCAGCAATGGCAAATATATACATGGAATATTTTGAGGAAATGGCATTAGAATCTATATCTCTAAAGCCAACTCTATGGTTAAGGTACACCTTCATACTCTGGCCACACCAGGAAGATGTCCAGGTTCTACTGGACCATGTGAACTCAATAAGATCTTCGATACAGTTCATGATGGGGAAAGAGAGTAACAACACACTCCCATTCCTGGATGTTCTAATATCTCGAACAGAGCATGATTTCAAGACATCCGTATACCGTAAACCGACATTCACCGGACAGTACCTCAATTTCAACTCCCACCATCCATACAGCATAAAGAAAGGGATTGTCTGTTGCTTACAACACCGAGCAAAACTCATAAGTGGTGACCCAGAGACATTAGATAAAGAATTGGTCAGTATAAGTAGTACCCTACAATGTAACAACTACCCTGGGTATATGGGAGCAGCTCCAAAAATCTGGTATAGGCAGGTACAAGAGGACAACAACACAGAAAACAGTCTGCCTGCCTTGTGTGAAGGGGTTATCAGAGAAAATACAAAGGATCTGCGGTCCATATAACATCAGGACAACAAGCAGGATGACACTTCGCAGATATCTCTCCTGAGTAATACCCCCCCATAGAGGAGAACATGACTAAAGACTGTGTGTACTCTATCCTGTGAAGCTGCAGAAAGAAATATAAAGGGGAGACAGGCCACCCCCTTAACGTAAGGCTTCAAGAACACCAGAAAGCTGTAACACGAGGGGAAGTGGAAAAATCAGGTGTGTCTGACCACATGTGGAGAGAAAAGGGAGATCACCGCCCTCTGTGGGATTACGTTGAGATCATAGACAAAGAAAATCATTGGAAAATTCATAAACTTAAGGAATCAGCACATATGCTAGGCCACAAAAATCTCCTGAGCCAATCAAGCATAGAAATGAATACAATATGGGAACCAGTAATAAGGAGTGCCAGAGAAAAGTGATAATAACAACAATAATTGCAATATGAGCTCTGGTAAAAACATGCAATGATAACAGCAAAAATTGCAATATGAGCACTGGTAAAAAATGTGTGCTGAAGACATTAGGTTTATAATACCCAGAAATTCATACCCAGATGTCCTCAAGGACATATGGCACAGTGGATAAAGGCATTATGATAGATAAGTAACAGGACCCAAAGAGTATGAGGTCAATACCTGGTTAAGGTGGTGGAGAACTTTGAGAGGGGAATTAACAGGAGATAACTGACATCCATTAGACATGGCATGAGGAACTAGTACGGTCTATACCAGTGAGTGAAATAAAAGGTTCAGTTCGACATTCCAACCACGTGAAGAAGGCCAGAGCGTAGAATGGCCGAAACGTTGTAATAAACATGGCGACAAAGATGAGGACAATAGTCCGAATAATGTAAATAGTGTACATAATACCTCATCAGACAGATACTGAGAGAGAGTGAGCATTGTATATTACTGTTTAGGTAGGTGACTATCTTTTATATTTTGAATCCTGATTCTCATAATCATCAATTAAATTTATTCCATAACAATTTACACTTGTAATTTGCAATCGTAATTTGCTTATTTTCTAAATCAGTAGCAGGATATTATTTTTTTTTCTGTTTGCTGCACAGGTAGTTACATATCCACCATTTCCAGGCAATGAATCCAACTATCTTCGAGCCCAGATTGCTCGCATCAGTGCAGCCACGCAAATCTCCCCAATGGGGTTCTATCAGTTTGATGAAGAAGAAGAAGAAGATGTTGAAGGAGAAGGTAAGACACATAATTCTTCTTTATCCCTAGTTAGGACCTTAATTTTTCACTTACTGACCCTAAAGCTCAATTTTCTGGCAACTAGTCTACAAAGGAATCTGATGTGTACAAAAAAGTTAGTCACCTAAAATTATCATTATTAATAATAATAATAATAATATTTATACGCATTATTATAATAATATTTCACCAGCCAAGAAAGATGTGCCAAAATGATCTTGAATTAAATTCAATTTTATATTTGCACAAGCATTCAATGGAAATAAATTTGGGTTGGATTAAGTTGGTTGATTTTATGATATGTCAACCATTTTGGAGTTATTGAATGTCGAGATCAGTCTATAAGCATTTACTCTGTTCAAGAATAAGTAAATATTGTTTATTTATATTTAAGCTTGTAAGCATTTCCTTGGGTTAGGGATAGGTCAATATTGCATTAAGCATTGATTTGGACAAAATTATAGAGGAGTAACTTCAAATTCTTGTGATTTTCAAATACTGTAAATTGTAATTGTACAAGTTTTGAAGCCTAAAAAAAATATTTCCAAAACTAGGAGTCGACTTATATGGTGGGTATAAAATACAAACCTTTACTTCTGAGTTGTGAACAAGTGGGGCAGCACTCTTAACAATTACTGTACACCACTTACCGTATCTCCAGCAGGCCGCCACAAATATATCCCACTAAAACTTGGGTTTGGTGAACATATTTGGCATACTAGTATTAATATAAAATGATAAAATAGTAACACAAATTCAGTATTGTACCACAGTTTTGCAGTTCACCAAATGAGTTTGGTGGCATTACTGGTTGTTTGTTTACGCCACTGATGCAAATGGCAGATGAATGATACTGTGTTTGACAAATAACATACGATACATAGCAGTACTATCAAATAACTACCTGGTATGATATGTAATCTATGGTATTAATATCTTATAGAAGTTGATGTTGACTTTAATGTGTTTGTCAGTAGGCCTGATGAATTTTAAATATTACTAAGTTATTGCGATGCAATAGACAATACCTACCGGTGTGTGTTGTAGGTTGTTTGCTATGAGATATATATATATATATATAGATATTATGTTTAGTGTCTTAGTATACAGATAAGTGGTGTGACCTTATGTAGTTTTGGCACAGGTTATTGTATACGGTCACCTAACTTCATTTACCAAAGGGCCTAAGTGTTTGGGGATTGACCTATATGGTAAGTATAGGCCCAATTCAGAAATCTAAGCTAAAAATCTTGAGGTTGACTTGTATGCCAAGTCAACTTGTACTTTGCAATTTATAATATTATATTTGTATTTTTTTTCAATTTTGTAAGCGTTTTCTTTTTTCATGTATATTTAATCCAAGAAACAAAAGAGATAGCAATGTTATAAAGTATAAACACTGAATAGTTGCTGGATTCTTGAAAAAAAAAATAGTGCCATTTAGTGCAACTTGTTGGACCTGACTGGAATTTATTCATCAACTGTTTATGAAGAAGCAAGCGAAAAGTGACGAAATGTTTATTATTAATTTAGTATTGACTGCCAAGATTAAGTTTACAGTACACCTGCCAGGAAATCAGTTGTGTTCTGCATATTGATTATATTATTACATTTAAAGACAAATTCTGTCTGTCCATCATAAAATCTCCTTGGCTACAACCAAAAATAAATAATCTTTTAATAGCAAATATTAAATTTGATTGAATAAAGACTATCAGAATAGAGAAAGAAAAATTTAAAACTGGGATTAATTCAGGTTTCTTGTTTTGCTGGCTACTGTAAATGTTATTTAATTTTTGACAAGCAGACCAAGTTTGAAAATACCAAATAATCAAATTTTCATCAAAATGGTTTAACAATAAAGGGAAATTAGCAAAGAAGATATGAGTAGATAGGTTTGCGTATTGCCTGGTTGGCACTCATTTCTTGTTTTTTTGAACAGAAGTAGAGGTACACTATTTACATTATTCGGACTATTGTCCTCATCTTTGTCACCATATTTATTACAATGTTTCAGCCGTTGTATGCTCCGGCCTTCTTCAGGTGGTTGGAATGTCAAACTTAACCCTTTATTTCACTCACTGCAGTAGACTGTTCTAGTTTCATGTGCCATGTTTAATGGATGTCAATTATCAGTTATCTCCTGTTAATTTCCCTCCACTGCCTTAACCGGGTATTGAACTCACACTCTTTGGGTCCTGTCACTGGATCTAACAAACACTTCAAAGACACATGGCACAGTGGATAAAGGTGTTGGTTAGATCCAGTGACAGGACCCAGAGTGTGAGTTCAATACCTGGCTAAGGCAGTGGAGAACTTTCAGAGGGAAATTAACAGGAGATAACTGAAAATTGACATCCATTAAAAACATGGCATGTGGAACTAGAACAGTCTACCACAGTGAGCGAAATAAAGGGTTAAGTTCGACGTTCCAACCACCTGAAGAAGGCAGGAGTGTACAACGGCTGAAATGTTATGATAAATATGGCGACAAAGATGAGGATAATAGTCTGAATAATGTAAATAATGTATATAATACCTCATCTCAGAAATATAGACAGATACAGAAGTAGAAGTTTATCCCTTGAATTTTTATAGAGTATGTGACGTCAAATTCAGTAAATTTTCCAGAAAATCAATATTTACCCCAAATCTTCCCGAGCAAAACATGATGTTGAACATGTGTGGAAGGGGTAAGGGCATTATATATTTTCTGTGCTTTTGCAGAACCAGTTATGAAAAATCTTCCAAATAGTTTAGTGATGACTAAAACAAGGACATCTGAACATGATTCATCATTGCTTTAAAAAGATGTAAATCTGGAATATACTGAACAAAGAAAATTGTAAGTCATATTTCATTGAGTCAATCAAAAACAAGAACTGTTACTTGCAATCACATTTTTGGGAGCCAGTCATAAGCCAAGCAGTAAATTTCAACTGTATCTTCTTTGTTCAAGATCATATATATATATATAAGTGACAGGTAGCCCTAATCCAAAATAGGGCGGATGAATTTTATCAGTTTTTCTATGCCAGTTGTCTTCGTAAAAACACACAGGGCCAAATTACTCATATATATATATTAGTGGCATAAACACTCACACATAGACACACTAATATACATCAAACATTTGGCACAGATTATTGTATACTGTACCCTACATATTATATATATATATATATATATATTTTTTTTTCTTTCTTTATCGGTATCACCCCAAGTAAGCCGTTTGTTTGTTTTATAGTATATCAACCTCAATGGGTTATTTAATGGCGACAAAAATTTTTATTGCTGGTAATATTTTTTTTTCAAAAATCTATTTCTGGGAATATTTTTCCTTTAAGAAATCTATAGCTGGTAATGTTATTTGTTTTGTTTTTTTTTAATGTAAAGCTGTTTGTATTGCTGATAATAATTTTTCCTTCAAAAATTAGTGTTGGTAAATTTTTTTTTTTAACAAAGTATTTCTGGTATTAAAACCTATTTTTACACAAGTTTGGGTGTTAACTATTTGCTCATAGCTGGGACCCTAACAGGTGCTACCACCTCAGGTTGGGGTGGACCTGGGAACACCAGCAATTAAGAGGTGGTTTCACGCAACTCAAAACGTCCTGATCAGAGTCCTTGCTGTTGGACATAGTTTATCGTCTTACCCAGGACGTGGATGTAGTTTATCTTCATACCCAGGACGACCCAAGCAAGGCAGTACAGTTACTAGTACACAAGGAGTTACAGGGTGTGGAATAATTAGGAACAGAAACATTAGTAATGAGGAGAACGTGAAAAGAACAATCAGGAGAACGGTAGATAGCGATTGACATTGCATTTAAATTTTTGTTGATTAAAGTTGGCTGGAAAGCATGGAGATGGAAGGGTGTTCTACCAGTGAGAAGTGTGAGGAAAGAAACTGCTAGCATAGAATTTATGGTTACATCTGAGCTCAACTGTAAATGGATATAAACTGATAAAATCTCAATGCCAGTCTAGTACTGTGCTTAAATTCAAGAAGTCTAGGTACCATAGCAAAAAGCTCATCTGAACAATTACCATGAAAGTATTTATAGAAAAGACACAGAGATGCAACCTTATAGCACTGGGCAAGTGACTGAAGCCAAGCTGCCAGATCAGGACCAATAATATTGCGAATTATTCTTTGGATCTTATCCATCTCAAGGTAAATGATAGGGGCACCAAACCACACATGGAAGCAATATTCTAAGCATGGACAAATGTTAGACTTATAGATATGCAAGATAGATTGCAGAGAGAAAATTGCCTCACCAAACACAGTGAACCAACTTTCTTAGCAGCAGACCTAGCAATGGATTCAATATAGTCTTTCCACCTGAGGAGGCACAATAAGTTACTTTCCTGGAGGATAGCATCAGCCATGCTGATAGAAGACAGAAAGGGGTTCTCTCAGATGATTAATAGAGAGAAGTTTAGTTTTGGAGGCATTAAAATTAACAAGCCATCTTTTATGCCAGTTAATGACTGTCTTCAGGTCATTTTGTACATCAACTGCCATTTTGACCTTATCTGACTGATCGGCCTTACTATCGAGGCACAAGTAAATGGTAGTGTCATCAGGTGCCAAATTGAGAGCTTATTTCATCAGGAAGGTTGTCGATAAAGATTAAAAACAGTGTAGGACCAAGGATGGAACCCTTGAGGACGCCCACGTTAGTACGTAAGGAAGTAGAAAAGTGGCCATTCAGGACAACCTTCATTTAATGATTTGATAGAAACAACTGGATCAATACAAAAACATGTCCACAGATGCCTTAACTTTTCAGCTTGTGGAGAAGACCTGAATGCTAGATCCTGTCAAAGGCTTTTGAGATGTTCAATACTATAGCTCGTTTTTATCTAGAGCATGATAGGCTCTTTCTACAATTATCATTAGTACATCAGCAGTTGATCTGGAGAAACAAAAGCTGTATTGTTTGTCTGAGAAAAGCTCTGTGATGAGAGATGATGAACCAATTCAGCACTGATTAGGGCCTCTCAGAGTTTCCCAAAATGAGGTTGAAGTTTAATAGGTCAATAGTTGGATAGGTTCAATGGTTCACCAGTGTTCTTAAAAACTAGAACAACAGACGATGACTTCCAACAGGAAGTAGTGAGTCATTTATTATATAGTTTAGAGAGAAGAGGAGCTAGTTCAGGAGCACACTTCTTAATGACTATTACAGGTGCATATCATTATTACAGGTATATTGGGTGCACATGCTTTGTGGGGATCTAGGTTAGAGATGATAGCAAAAACCATGGAAGGGGTTATCTGCATGTCACTCAACATAGAATCAGTTCTAAGTGGAAAATTAGGCAGGGATATTCCAGATGAGTCAAGAGTAGAGTTTAAGAAGATATATAATATATATATATATATATATATATATATATATATATATATATTGATGCATGTTTCATTAAATAATAAAGACAAGTTTTGTCTTTTTATTTTATGTAAGTTCCTTTCATATTGTCTGATAAGCTTAATAATATTATCATTGAAGGACGAAAGGAACTTACTTAAAATAAATAGACAAAACTTGTCTATGTTATTTAACGAAACATGCATCAATGAAAAATTGCTGCCTAAATATACACTATATATATATATATATATATATAATACACACTTATACAGATCAAGTTGGATCTGGTCAAGGTCCAAAATAAACAAAGTCAATTAAAGCATGCTTGCGACACAATGCTACTTCCAATGTGAAACATGTCTGTTTAACTTCCATTCTACATCAGTGATAATCTTTGATAATGGTCGCTACAAGTGCATTGCATATTGGTTAATAATCAAAAGCAAATGCTTTTAACACAACATTGAACATCTGACTTGCAGTTGTAAAAAAAAGAAAAAAAGAAAAAAAATAGCAAGAGACTGACATGTTTACACAAAAAACAATACCTAATCAGGTGGCAAAAGCTGCTGGTGGTGCCAGGGGGTGGCAGTATTGCCTTAGCACACCAAAACTGTTTTACCTCCCCTGGTTGGTGGCTGACATGTGCGGGGTATCACACATACTTTCACATATTGTATGTAGAAAAAAAATATCCTGTCCTTCATTTCAACTCATCTGCTACAATTTTCATAGATGACTACTACACATTTACAAATACGTGTTTATCCATACACATTAGGACTCTTTTCATATTTACAAGGATTTTCATCTTTGAACACTTGAGAACCATCTGTAAATTGAGAACATTATGTCTTAGTGGATGTATCACCTTGCTTGAAGTGAAATGATTAAAACAATATATTAAATTATACAAAATTTACATATTAACTTGATTTTTTATTATCCTTTATTTTTTCTGCAAGCTCACAATGGTGAGAAACAATGTTACTATAAAGGTAACTTGCACCACATCCCATAGAGTACCTGAATTGTTGGAAACCTTATTAAAATAGGTAATATTTCTTAAGGATTCAATTCTCACTGTTTTATTAGTAGTGTCATTAACCCTTTCCAAATTGATAATTTTTCTCAAACAGCAAAAAGAGTATTTGACCTTCAAGCACCCTTCTTTTCTTTCATTTCAGCTCGTGACACTTATGTAGAGAACATCGACTTTGAAGGACTCCCAATCCGAGAATTGTCTGAATCAGTTAATAACTGGGTTCACCATGTCTTGCATATACTTGCCCAGGTCTGTCCTAAATAACTTATTAAAAATTATTTCTTCATATGCTTTTTATTTTAATGGATGGCTTTTGGTGGGTACATCATTGCCTCCATTGGTAACATGACAGGTTTTATAAGTACATTGTGGGTTTGAATATAAGGAAAATCATTTAAAAAAGAAACATATTTTACTCCTTAAAACAGTTTAGAAAAAGGTAAGCTGAGGTTTAACCCAGTAAATAACAAAAATGAGAACTAGGAACATAAAATGATATCTTGTCAATGACCACAGCTGTTGCAATACCAGAAGTGAGGTAAAAGGTAGGAGCACTGTTAACTGTTAATTTTGTTTAGCATCTATTATGCCTTCTTCCATATCTGAATATATATATATATATATATATATATATATATATATATATATATATCTATATATCCAAGGTCTGTTGGTAGAAAAGTTGGTTCACTGTGGTAGATAAGCTTTCTTACCATCTTCTTCTTACACATTTATAAGTTTAACTTTTGCTATGCATTGAATATTGCTGTCACATCTGGTCTAGGGCTTCTGCTATGTATCTAGAGATTCTTGATAAAATCCATAAAAGAATCTGCAATGTTATTAGTCCTGACCTGGCATCTCATCTTCAGTCACAACTCCCACTGCCATAGCATAACTTTCTTGTAAATATTTTCATAGTAATTGTTTGGTACCTAGACTTTACGAATTTAAGCACAGTACTAGATTGGCAGGTAGGTCCTATCTTTTTACAGCTGAAATTGCTAGATGCAAATAAGTTCTCTGCTAACAGTTTCCTCTCATACTTCTTGCTTGTGGAACTCTTGTCTGGCTTCTTGCTTTCCAGTCAAATTTGATCTTCAAAAATTCAAACACCCCATATGTAGTAGCTCAATGGATTTAGATCTGGAGAACTAGGAGGCCATATGCTTGCAGGTGACATGTGGTGACGTGATCGTAGAGATCATAACTCATTCATTTTTGGATCATCTTGGTCTTATGAGATGGCACAGAATCTTATTGGTAGGTGTACAAATCTTCCTTTGCTTACATTCTCTATCTAAGGCTTCACAACACGCTCTTAAACCTCTTTACAGCCAACAGTATTGACCCTTAAGAACTGAGGAAAGAAATGAGGATGTGTGACGTCTCCATCATTACTCTTGATTCCCAGAACCATCGCAGTTACTGGAAACTTTGTGTGCGTGATTGTTGGAATGTCCTTAGGGTTTGTTCATTTCTTTACATGACCTTTGGGTCCTGATCAAAGTTTTTCTCATCAGAGAAAAACCAAAGAATTTCAGGTTCTTAATATTTCAACTCACTCGACAAACACTTTGCATGGATCAGACATGAATTGGCTTTTCTGCATCACATATGACTTGTATCGAATGTCCTCATCCAAGTCAGTACTTTGATTCTTTGAGCTCCTTACCAATGGCATTAATTGAATTTCTGGAATTCTTATCAATAATTATCTTCACCTTTCATACAAATTTAGGTGTTCTGATTGTATTTGGACCCTTAGCAGGTGTTTTATGTTTGGCTACTGCTGTAGAATCCACATCATTGGCTTCCAGCTTTTTACAAACTTTGACAATGAATGATTGTGCAATTTTCAGGAAGTGAGCAATCTGTAAATCTCTATGCCCTGCCTTTAAAGCAATAATTACAGCATGCCTTTTTATTTGCCAAGTTAGCTTTGGTTTTTCATCATTTACCTCAAAAGAAATGATAATCAGAACAAGTTAGAAAAAAAATTAATTATTAGAAGACATGTCCTTAAAGAAATGAGAAATCCTGTATAAATGGTCTGTGTGTGATTGTTGGAATGTCCTTAGGGTCTCTGTATAACCATTTCATTTCTTTACATGACATTTGGGTCCTGATCAAAGTTTTCTCATCTGAGAAAAACCAAAGAATTCCAGGCTCTTGAGGTTTCAGATTGCTGAACAAGTGTTTTGCATGCATCAGATGGTTATCTTTCGTCTTTGAATTGGCCTTGCCGTGTTTCATATGACTTGTATCACTAGTCCTCATGCACAACTCTTCTGATAGAGTGCCTTGAACTCCTTAGTAATTGGGCGTTAATTAATATTCTGGGGTTTTATTGATAATTGGCATTAGAACCCGTAGCAGGCATTTTACACTTAGCTAATGCTATAAAATTGTCTTCCAGCTTTTTAGTGAACTATGACAACAAATGACCTTCAAGGAAGCAAGCCATCTTGAAATCACTATGCTCTGCCTTTAAGACAATAATTACAATGTAACTTTTAATTTGTTTAGTTAACTTGATGCTTGTTATCATCTTTTTGGTTTGGTTTGGTTTGTTTAATGGCATATCATCAACCTCGATGGATTATTTCATGCCAACAAGATTTGCTAATGTTTTTTTTCTTCAAAAATATATTGCTGGTAATAATGTATTGCTGGTAATAATTTTTTTCTTCAAAAATTCTTTGCTGGTATTAATTTTTTACGAGAATGTATTGCTAGTATTAAAAACCTATTTTTACACTTTCATAGTGTTTTGACCCTAGTTTGGGGGTTAACTATTTGCCCATAGCTGCGACCCTAACAGGTACTACCATCCTAGGTCAGAGTGGAGTTGGGAACAAAAGCAATTAAAAGGTGGTCCCACGCTCCTCAAAACTTCCTAATCAGAGGCCTTGCTGTTGGATGTAATTTATCATCTTACCCAGGATGACATTGTTTGGAAAGAAATGATAATCACAACAAATTATAAAAAAAGATAAAAACTATTAAGAGAGGTTTCCTCAAAGAACTGAGCAATCTTTATATATACTCTGCTGTTTTCTATCATGAGAGCTAATATTTTTTTTTATAATCATTTCACCCCAAGCAAGGCAAGAGTGCTACTAATACACAGGGGGTTACAGAGAGTGAAAGTGAGAGGAAAGTATAGGGGGAATTGAGGAAAGAATAAAAAATGAACAGGGTATAAGACAACAGAAGATGGCAACTGACACTACATTTAAAATTTTGAAGATGGTAGTTATCAGGGAAACAAGTAAACAGAAGAGAGTTCACAGGTGGAAAGTGTGAGAAAAGAAACTGCTGGAGTAGAAGTGGCAGTTACATTTAACTGTTTCAACAGTAAAAGGGTGGGACCTAAATGCCAATCTAGTAGCACACTTAAATTCATGTAGTCTGGGGCACCAGGGAGAAAAGTTCATCAGAGCAGTCGCCATGAAAACATTTGTAGAAAAGACAGAGGGAAATCACATCACATCTGTGAGAAAGTGACTGAAGTTAAGATGCCAAGTCAGGATCAATTACCTTGCAGATTCTTTTGGGGATTTTGTCAAGAATCTCAAGATGGACAGTTGATGACCAGACCATGGTAACAGTATTCAATGCACAGACAAATGATAGATTGGTAAATGAGCAAGATGTTCTCAAATGAGAAAAAAACCTTCAAGTACGACACAATGTACCAACTTTCCTTGCAGCTATTGATTTAATATAGTTGTTCCACTTCAAGTCAGTTGAAAATGTGAGGCCAAGAAGGTGCAGTGAGATGCCTGGAGTTGAGCATTAGCCATTGCTGATGGTGGGGAGGGAAGTTTCTCTATGGTGGTTAAATGAGAGTAGTTTCGTTTTGGATGCATTCAAATTTATGAGCCATTTCCTACCCCAGTTAACCACTGGAGTTCCTTTTCAAGAGCAGCAGCCAAGTTAACTTTGTCAGCTCTGATGGATTTGCTATTAAGGCAGGAGTAAATGGTAGTGTCATCTGCATAAATGCCTACTTGGGAACTGATGACATCAGGAAGATCATTGATGAAAATCAGAAACAGCATAGGACACAGTATAGAGCCAGGGGGGGGGTCACCTGCATTCATGTGAAAGGATCTGGGCATGAGGCTGTTGAGAGAAATCTTTATTTCACAATTTGATAGGAATTTGATAGGATTAAACCAAATAGTCATCCTGTAATACATAAATTATAAAGAAGACCAGCATGCCAAACCCTGTCAAACACCTTTGAGATATCTAGAGCCACAGCTTTGCTGTTATTATCAAGAGCTTAATATACTTATTCAGAGATGGCCATAACCACATCAGTGGTAGACCAAGCAAAATAGAATCTATATTGTTTGTCAGAGAGTAGGTTGTGAGAGGTAAGATGCTTGACAACTTCAGCATTGAATAAAGCCTTGAAAAATGGTAGGACACTAATAAGGCGATAGTTAAGGGGTCAGAAAGTTCTCCAAAGTTCTTAACAGGGACTACAAAGGAGGACTTCAAACAAGCAGGAAGCAGTAAGGCAATAGTTGTAGAGTTTGGAGAGAACTGGAGCACATTTTTTTAGGACAACATCTGGTTTCCCGTCACCTCCGTTTACCTTATGAGAGTCTAATTTAGAAATGATGTCTGAAACCAGTGACAGGTTTATGTGCATATCACTCAGTATACCCTCAGTTCTAGGGGTAAATCAGGTGTGGATACTCCAAATGAGATGAGTGTTGAGCTGGAAGAGAATTTCCAATCAAAGCATTCCACCTGATCTGCTGTAGATGCAGTTTTGCCATAAAAAATGCTACTCTAGTTAAAAGAGAAAATAATTCACTGAGACGAAAATGTCTAGAAAGTGCTTTAATCACTAGTTCATCCACAGCAAATTTACGTCGAGGCTCTTACAACATATCACTATTTTAGGTAGATTTTCTGCTATCCCAGTTTGATAGTTACAAACAATGATGATGGAAAGAAAAAGAATATAGATGAATTTGGCTAGATTGAAAAAATTATTTTAAAAAATCTTTCAAAATTTTGAAACTACCAGCATCTCTCATTCATGGACATGTGTAGTCATGGCAACATCAACAAACCCAGTCCATTAAAGTCCTAATAAATGAAATGCATCATAAGTAAACTTTATAATTTTAAGGTGTGCTATATTTATGGGTTAAATTGTTCAGTATCAGGGATAGAGCATATGTAAATATAAGAGTGGACATTGAAGTCAACGCTCAAAGGTGGCTGTTTCATGCTTATATGCAATCAACAGGCCATGTCATGGCCTGACGATTGCGTTTAGCATGAAACAGACTGTCACCACTGGGTGTTGACTTCAATGTCACCATGTTTATCAGAGAGGTGACTTCTTGATTGATACTATCAGGCTGGGGAGATAATCTTAGTATATGGCAGCTTTGGAAAGTGCCTGAAAACTGTGCCATGGGTTAACCAAAGCCTTGTGAGTGAAATTGGGTAGATGAAAATAGGCAGAAGCCATTGATGGCTGTGCTTGCACACAGTCACAAGTCTTCATGACTGAGGGCTTGAGTGTGCTGGCCTTGTTCAAATTGCTGATCACACCAGATCATGTGCTCTCTTCCAGAAACTGTAACTAAGATCTGCTTAGCATAGTTGCAGTATAAACCACAGGTAGGCTTTGTAGGTGTTGAATAAACACAAATGTGCCTGAGTAGGTGTCCACAACAGGGATTGGCTAGCTGCCCTGTTGCTAGTAGACAGATGTGCTCAGAAAATGAGAGTTGCCAGCCATTATATATATATATATATATATATATATATATATGTGTGTGTGTGTGTGTGTGTGTGTGTGTGTGTGTGTGTATTTAGGCAGTATGTGTGTATTGATATTAAAGGATGAGAGAAATTTGCTGTAGCTGTTTAAATTTCTTTCATTTTCATTTCTCAAGTACTTTCGATCTTCTTCCAAGATCATCTTCAGACATGTGTAGTGTCTTTGTCCATTGTGAGACATCTACAACAACATTCCTGTCCACATTCACAATATAAAAAATTACTAATCAACAACACAACTATCCTACACCATGAAAACAATAAATTCAGATTACAGATACTAGAAGCATTTTATATTAAAAAATTAAAGCCGGCACTGAACAGAATCAACTATTAATACTGCAGTAATGTTCTGAAATGCCTGTAAAGGAACAGTTTTTTCATGCTTTAATGTGTGCATAACCATGATATTATAACATGAAAAAAAAATTTCATAATTGATAATTTTTTCACATTCTAATGAACACTCAGCACATTGTCAACTGTTTTGCATTTAAAAGCATAATGAAAAAATTACAGTAATTGATAACAATGTACAACTTTGTATAAATACTTGTACTAATGAACAACATATAGTTTTGTACTACTTGCACCCCTGAAGATGATCTTGGAAGAACATCGAAAGTACTTGGGAAACGAAAATAAAAGAAATTTAAACAGCTATAGCACATTTCTATCATTCTTTAAAATCAATGCACGAAAGATTATTTGTGAGTAAGAACAGATTTTAGTAAAATTAGCAAACATAATGTCTGTAATTTATTCAATCAGACATATATATAACATCTCAACATTCTATTAATATGAATATGAATCTGATATATCTGCTTTGCTGAAACTGATGTCTTATTTGTAGGGTCGATGCAAATGGTGGAATCCATCACAGAGAAATGAAGAAGACGTAGAAGATGAAGATGAAGAAGAAGAACGAGAAGAACCTGATGAACCCCAACCTGAGGATGGCCCACCCTTGCTAACACCCCTTTCAGAAGATGCCACCATTGGAGATATTCTCCCTTGGACAACTGCGATTTCTTCCAGTTTAGTTCCTCAGTATGCTGTGGCAGTTGTCCATTCTAATCTTTGGCCAGGAGCACATGCTTTTTCCAGCAACAAGTAGGTTCAGACATTTTTATGAAAGAATCCTGCAAAACAAAGTTAGTCTTTTGTGAGAAAGAGAGAGAGAAACTGAAAGAGAAAAAGACAAAAGAGAGAGAGAAAGTGAAAGAGCAAAAGGCAAGGGAGAGAGAGAAAAACTGAAAGAGCAAAATGCAAAAGCAGAAATTGTTGGCCATTTATGAGGCTGGGTACAATTTAAAAATGTGAGGTTCTTCCATTCAACAAGGCATACGGGCCAGGGTATTGCCACCATTTGGACTTCTTGTTCATTGCTCTGGCATTGCTTGGATCTTCTGACACTGCCTGACTGCTGGCCTGAGGATCAACCCTCGACATTTATCAACTAAATTTAGAAGGTGTAAAAATTGCAATCTATTAAAATACTTACTGGAGAGATAGAGCAAAAGAAAGACAAAAGTGAGGATCCAGTAAAAATATTTGCAAATTTCTTCATTGTTTATAAAACTAATCTAAGTTTGTATAATATTTAGATAAAATTATGGATCAACAACACAAATTAGAAGGGATAAGAGAGAGAATGAGAAGATACAGTCAAAAAGTATTATCTTTTTGCAGTGATCTGAGATCATGGGAAATCTTGGTTGCTATATTGGAAAGGGATAAGGGATTGAATGAGATAATACAGGCAAAAGGTGAGAGATGATCAGTTACCTGAGGTAATGGATAATCTTGGTTGTTATATTAAATGGGATTGCCATTGTTTTTTATTTATACAGATAAAAATCACAATTTACTTTTGAAATAACCAGTTGTAAAATTTAGTTTCTTATTTGCTTTTAGGAAATTTGAAAATATTTATATTGGCTGGGGTCACAAATATTCGCCAGAAAACTACAGTCCCCCTCCAATGCCCCAACCACAAGATGAATTTCCAGAAGGACCAGAAGTGACAGAGATGGACGATCCAACTCCTGAGCAAGAAGCAACACTGAGGGCCGCATTGCAAGCAAAGGGAGATGAAGAGATAGAAGAAGCTGAGGAAGAAGAGGAGGAAGAAGAAGTGTAAGCTGCTGCTGGTGCCCCCCCCACTTCAGTACAACAGACACTTCAGAATTCCCCACTTTCTAGCAACATTACAGAGACACTGTTTCTTTATCAAACCTTTTTGAAGACTGGCTTATAAACACCATTTACTATATTGGGTTTTCCTTTTATTTTTTTATATACATCAAAATGTAAATTATAGTCTCTCACACACACACACAAACTTTTTGTTACGACTGAGCAGAAACAGAATTTACTCCAATCATGAACTGTTTTACTCTCAATGAATTGAATTGTCTTGCCTTGAACATCTATAGGGGCTCAATTCACCCAAGATATCAAGTGTTTTATATATATATATATCTCATGTGGTGCAGTTCAATTTACATTACATGTTTTTTGTATGAATGATTCATGTAATTATATATATATATATATATATATATATATATATATATATATATATATACTTTATTCTGGGATAGTGCATCAAAAACATGTAAAAAAAATGCTATACAATTGCAGTCATGTTTTGATGTGAATCAATGCATCTCATCAGGTGATTACATGGTTTACAATTGCCTGATGAGATGCATTGATTCACAGTGAAACATGACTGTAATTGTGTAGCGTTTTTTTGACATGTTTTTGATGCAATATCCCAAAATAAAGAATATTGCTCTACTTTGTATTGAGCCCTCTTTTAAATTAAATGTTTCGAATGTTGGAATTGTACTCTATTCATTCTCATCTTACCTATATATATATTTATTATATATATATAGATAGATATATATGTATATAATTTGTCTCTAAAGATGCTGGAATAAAAAATGGTCAGTATTCTTGTATCCACTTCAGAAAGTATTTGACTCCACCTGCCATGCTGCATCATTACAAGAGACAAATCAGATAAAAAATTGAGTCTTGATTTCATATCTGGGCTGGAACTGCCCACTCCTAAATTTCCAGCCTTGACAGAATTCAAAAATATTTATGTAGCCTTGTGGGTGATGTATTATTTTCCACCCTGCAATCTGTTTCCCACATTGCAAACCTATTTCTATTGCTATTTCCATGGTAAATGTTCAGATGAACTAGAGTCCTTAGTTCCGCTAGTGCAGACCTTCACATCTAGGCCCCACCATATCATATTCACAGAGTCAACATCTTCATTCCCTTCCTATTCCATTGGTAAGAAGGACATTCCACTCAAACTTCCTTTTCCTGAGAACTTCTACTTTGTAGAACAGGCTCCCTAGAGGATGCTTCCCTACAATCTTAACCTCTTCCAATTTAGGGTCAACTATTATGTCTCCTCCATATCTTCATAATCTGCACTTACTTCCACCTCCTCTTATATCCATTCAGCAACCACATTTGCAAACTCTCTACCTTGAGTGGTTCTTGGGTCTTGGATTAGGTGAACATTTATTGAAAAAAAATAATAAAATTATATAAATGTCTACACAGACCCAGACATTATCACATTGTGTTATAAGAGAGTGAAGGCGCTCTCCCTTGAATGGCCCTTAACTAGTCCTGATGATGATGTTGCTTGTGTTGACTGGTTAGAGAACATGCTCCACAGTTGGGCACAACACAGGCCACCCTCTCAGCCATTGGGGTTGTTGGCAGCTATTTAACATCTTGTTGTACGGAATATTGGCCACATATTCCACATTTCCAGTGCAGGCAGTGAGTTGTGATCAGTCCTTGACCTTGCCATTTAATGCCCATATATGGATCTTGCATCAAAGTCATTCAATTTGTTCTACTAAGTGAACTCAAGGTGCTAATAAGAGTATACATATACATTTTTAGTACTTCAAACATTATCATAGTGGATACTAGTATTTCAAATAGATGCTCCATTTTTATTTTTTATTATAATATATATATATATATATATATATATATATACATATACACACTGTTTAAAATAAAAATGGAGCATCTATTTCAGAAATGAGTATTTACTATGCATAGAGGCTGAAAAAAGCATGTGCTCCTCCACAAGAACTCCAAACAATTAAATGACTATGTAGAAGATAAATACATGAAATTCACCATACCAAAACAACACTAGCTGAAAGTGCTTGGAATAATAACTAGAGACAATTTTTATATTCTTTAACCCCTAAAAAATGAAACAAAATCTTAGAATGTTGGAAAAACTCAATAAAAGATTAATTAAGTCTTCTTTGTCAGCTGTTTTCAATGAAACATGCTTGAAAGAAAGAAGAAAGAAAGGTTGCTGCATATATATATATATATATATATATATATATATATATATATATATATATATACACACACACACACACATAATATTTATTATAGTAGATTTAAAAAAAAAAAAGTTAAAAATCACTACACAATAGCTTTCATGTTTCAGCACAGAGTTGTGCCTCCTCAGGTGATGGTAAATAATTGTTGAGTAAATAATTATTTTTAAATTTCAAAAGAAGAATACCCCCACTTTTTTATTTTTTAGAAAGAGAAGAGAAGAATGAAATAAAAACAAATTAAAATGAGGCTTGTGGGTTTACCCTGATTAACCAATTAGGTGTCAGACCTACGCTAAATTCAAAATTAACCAAAAAAAAATATTGAACCTATTTTAAAATTAAATGCTACAGGCAGCAGAATTATACTCCATTTGTTCTTATCCCATACCTGAAGATATATATATATATATAATAATATTTTTTTGTTTAAAAATATGATTCCTTCGCTACATAAGAGTTCTCATGTTTCAAAAAAAAAAAATTACCAAGGAACTCCAGATTATGCACCCAACGTGTTCTTTTCTATTTTCTGCATACCTGCGCACTTTATATATATATATATATATAAAGCATATTTGGGCTGCAATCTATTATACATGTTTTATTGAATGCAATGGACATGGAAAATTGTGTAAGTTTTTTTTATTCCATTTTTCTAATGTTCTCACAATTTTCTTTTTATGAAGCCAAAGTGATTGTAGAAACTGTTTGTTGTCATTATTTTGGCCAATTCATCAGCTATTTTCAAGGGATTTCTTAATTAGTATATTTTTCAGTATTTATGTTCTAAGCTGTATTGTGTGAAACTTGACAGAATGTATTCTTGGTTTTTTAAAGGCAAATCAATAAGGAATTACTTCTACTCCCATTCAGCATGACTTCTAAAAAATACCACTTACAACACAGAAAAAAAAAAAAAAAAATCTATCAATGAAAATTACATTTCAACACCTTAGGAATGTATAATGAATTGGTAGAAAGTGAGGGACAATAATCTCTACCAACATAAAAGAAAAACTGAAAGAAGATTAGAAAAACACAAATAAAAATGTTTTCCTTGTCTGTCACATTCAATGAAACATACATGCACAAACACAACATTTCATTGAATATGAGGGACAAGGGCTATTTTATTTATGACATACAGAGATGAAGTAAAGGTCAAATTTACTGTCTATAGTACCATTTATTGTTGACTCCATTGGGTTACAGGGTTTAAGATGATTGACTATCCTCATGGTTCTTTTTTGTGATTTGAGAATTCATACAGGATTGTTTTGTTCCTTCTGGTTGACAGAAATTAATTCATTGCATTCATCCTTTCTTCTTCTTTGACTTCTGGAGTAGTACATCAGGTCAAACTCACAGCCTATGAATCACCAATCCTTGAGTCTCGAACTGCTACCTCGAATCAAGTTCCTCTCCACGGCATCGTCTCTAGTCTCATACATGGTTTTCTTCTTTTTATTGGGGCTGACACATCTGTATTTCCCATTTGATTTTTGCCGGGACGTGTTGTCATTGGTTGATTTTTTTTTTATGACATTCACTGACCCACATAAACTATGTCCAGGTTCATGTCCATTACCAAGGATAGGAACAATAGGAAGGAAGGAAAGGAAATATATAGAGAGAGATTAGTAAAGAGGTAAGTCTATATTTTTTGTATAGTGGATGAGAGACTGCTTTTATACTATTTTCATTTTCTGGTAGTAAAATTTTTTTTGTCGCTCAATTTTAGTAAAGAGGTTTAAGTCTGTTGATTGATATTTTTGTATCAGTGTTAAATTAATACCTGAACGTTTAAAACTTTAAGGGTCTACTACACAGATGTGTATGATTTGTTGTATTACTGTCTTGTACATATTTTCACTTCCTGCACAGAGGCAATGTCATTAATGGTGGTTTATAAGATGCAGGTTTGAGGCAGAGATATATATATTTCATGAAATTTCTTAAACATTCAGGCCAAAATTTTTCACTGTTTAATTAAAGAACAGATATTTATTTGTATCCATTTGTACAAACAGAAAATATATTAAATGTTTGTTGATTTTAATCCACGTTTTATATATATATATATATATATATATATATACAAAAAAGTTATAGAACACACGTTTACCAAAAAATTGGGTTTTTTCATTCTGATATCCACCAAAAAAAAAGTCACACAAAAATTTTTATGATATCCATTAACAATTGCAATTATTATTTTTACATCTCTTTCTTTATCACCAACAATAAAGCATTTTTAACGGTAGGAAGGAAAATGAATTTAAAGGGAGATAACTTTTAATAAATCAAATGGTATTTCATTTTATTTCGAAATGTAGATAAGAGTTTGTACTTGATGTCTATGTGATCTAATGAGTGACCCTTCAAGAGAAAATTATGATGGAAAGAATTATCATTAAATTTGACCCCTCGCAGGTGACACTAACTTTTGTGCATCAAAAGGGGATTTTTTTTGTGCATACAATTTTTTTAGTTAGTTATTTCCCTTGAAAAATTTTTTTTTTCCGTTCCCCTCCAATTACTTAGTTGCAACTCTGATGTTTTGAACATTGGACATTGTTTTAAAGTTACTTTAAATTCAATACCTCTGGCGACATGACACAGTTTTGGCTACGCAGAAGTTAGTGACATATCAGAGATTTTTAATATTATCAGTGATTCTCAAAAAACAGCAGATATATTCATTTCTTTACGTTTCATCAAAACTGTGTTG